CTTCTTCTTCTTCTTCTCTCTCTCTCTCTCTCTCTCTCTCTCTCTCTCTTTCTCTCTCTCTCTCTCTCTCTCCGCATTTTCCAATAATGTTCCATGTGGCTTTATATTTAGCGCCATTAAGTTTGTTTTTATCTAAGGGATCTCAGAGTTGCCAGAATCGACAGCGAGTTTCTTGTCCAAAAAATTACTTCTTACTCACGGTTAGATATTTCTATGAGACACTTGAACAGTTGTGTTCCGGTATCATAATACTTGGAAATGTAAAATAGAAATTTAGCTATCATCCTTAGTTATCGTCTATCATTATTAAATACCGTGCGAACTCCTGGTACGTCAAACACGCGAACAACAAAGTGACGATGGCCCATCGACCTCTGACTCGAGATTTTACGTTTATGTAACGTGTCATAGATATCACGCGCTTTCTCTCGACTGCAAATTCTTTGAATGTGAATTTTCCCGCAGTGACACTTTAATTGAACGTCATAATTCTTTGCATTTCCGGCAATGTATAGCAGCCCATATCCAACCAAAATTTAATTAAAAATTCTAGAACTAATTTGCAAAAATCAATAATAATAATTAATTACTTTATTTGACAGACAAAAACGCGTGTGATAATTGGACATTACAATTAATTCAATCTTTCAGATCAAACAGTTTGCTAAATAATTCTTTGTATTTTTAATCGTAGATATTTCAAACGCTGAACTAGTACAACATTTAAGATACAAAAGATATAAGAGATCGTAAAAAGAAGTTATTTTTACACAAATATTTTATTTTCATCTCTTTTCGAAAATACTTTTTTATTTTTAATATTGTATCCATGTTTGCGTTCCCGTGTACAACGCTAACGCTCCTCGACGTTCCAACAGATGTATTCAGGGCACTCTTGAAAAAAAAATTGTTCCAATTCTCTCGCAGTCGAACGATGTAAACGTCACTGCCTCCGGCAACGGAATAAAATTATTCATGAGCCAAAATGAAGTTTGACAAGTTCGGCGGTGTAATGTTCTCGATACTCGATAGCCTCTACGAGCCTCTGTTCCATCGGCGAATAGCCTACCTATACGCGGAACAACAGCGAGAAAAAAATCGCGATGTGCAGTTTCTGTCATAATACCCACGGGATTATACGGACGCATTGACCGTGCGATTCTGGCCGGTATGTTTGTCGTTGATAAAGCTTCTTTATTCAACACTGAAAACGACCCGGACGACAGTATATTTTCTCTCGCATATTTTCACAATGCCACGTTATATCGCGAAAGCAGCTGTACAAATATGTCAAATAGTTGCTATAGAACATTCGGATTAGGTAGCCGAGCCTCGCTGACCTAATTTCCCATAGAGCAAGACGCATGATCGTTTAACCCCGATTCTAATCCCCGCTTTCGACTTTCAGGTGTCGCTGCTACATACACACCTGGTTACTGCGAGACAGAGGTGAGTGTGCCTCTTTCCGTTTTATTTTTTTTTTTTTAGATTATTCGTATGTAATTAGCCGTATAGTCTTTTAGCTAAAAAGGGTCATCGGCTCCGGTCCAAATTTAATTAAAACTGAGATTAATCTGAAATTAAATCTGAAATTAATTTTGTGTTAACTTTGGTTTTGTGTAACTTTCAACGCCATTCTTAATTCCATGAAAATGTCATTTAATTTATCAGGCGGTGATAATTTCGGTTACAATCTCTTTACGAGCCTTCAAGTTTAATATTAAATTCTTCGACTTTCTCGTACAACTGGTTAAAGTTGCCACGTCGGGTGATGAAGTCTTTATATCCACGAATTATCCTTCACCCGATGCTTCATGGATCCTCGTTGGACGCGAGGGTGAGTCTGGTCGGATAGTTTAGAAACACGTTGGAATATTTATCGCGGATTTTCTTAATTCTGTAAAAGTAAAGCGACCGAACGATGCTGTCGTAAATATTCAAGTGACGCTAATCTCAAGACCACGCGGCCCCAATCAGACGGCACTTTAGACGCCGAAGTTAATTAGCGGCTAAGTAATTAAAGTCTCAGCGGCCCTTATTTCAAGCAATGCAATTTAACTTTCGTAGAATTCCGCTTGGACGTTGTACGCGCGACGGTTATTACGACGATTTACGGTTCGCGAGCGATCGATTCGAAAGAGGTGAAGCACACCCGGGACGCGCGTCGGGGCGACGCGAAATTTCCGACCGTGGCGAGCGTACGTGGAAAACGTACGTTACGAACGCTCCTTTCTCATCCCTGCAGATGTAACGCGGATTTTAATTTACGGAGCGCGAGATCTAATTACGGAGTCACGGAGTTACGCCGCGAGCGAGCGAGCGAGCGAGCGAACGAGCAAATTTCCTCCCGTGAAAAATCGCTCGAGTAAAATTACAATTGCAGCAGTTCGCGAAACGTTCGCTTTGAAGTCGCCGTTAATGTCTCTAATAAATGCCGACAATGGTCAATCGACGCACCGTTTAACCGGTTAACCATGATTTACGCGACGTGTAGGTGTAGGTAACGGCGACGAACCCCCTCCTCCCCCCCCTCCCTCCTCTCCCGCCTCCGCGCATGCTGCAGCGAAATTTAATCAAACTTTTGTTGCCCGGTGGGATGCGAGTTGCAGTATCGAATTTCATCGTGTGCGGGATAACGCAACGGCGAATGTTCGTTCGCATGTTTTGTGCGTTGTATCGTCGTCTCGCTCGCGCAAAATCAATAGCGTTTAATGCACTCGTCGCGCTCGTTCGAGCGTACGAATGCATAAATTGATTTCCCTAATTACCAACACTTCGTGTGTAACGCGCATAAAAAGAATAATAAGGGAATTTCACGGCAAATTGAAAAGCTTTTTAACGAGATAATATTTTCCCGCACTTTTTCCAACGATCACGTGCTGACAACTGTATTTTCCAAATTCATTCGATTTGTTTTTTTTTTTTTTTTGTTTTTCCGAGAGAATTTCAATTACGTCATTCGGAAAAAAAAGATTGTGAATATCGGGACGAGTTGATAACTGAGCGGTTGATTTTTCTTTTTTTTTTTTTCTTTTTTTTTCGTTCTCAATTGACTCAAATTTAAAAATGCCGTAAATGACTTTACAATTACACTTAACATTACTGATGCTATCTGTAATCTGAAATGATGATTGGATTCAGAGATCTAGACGCGTGTATCGAAAGAGAAGTAATCCGGTGAGAACAAGCTGCGGGACGGGTCCTCTGAAAGTAGCATACGTTCTAAGGGATTCGCGGAAGCTCGCCGTTGCGAAGCGCACTTTTCCGAAAGTAGTTTCTACGTATTCTGAGAGCGTATTACGTTGCAGGTATCGCGAGATGTCGAGCAGGCGAGACTACCAGAGTTCCTCACGGAATTGGACCTGTCGAGTCTCAAAGCATCCGAGGAAGACGTCGAGGCGCTGAAGAAAATCGTGAAAAGGCTGGCACCCGAAAAGAACGGCGAGTACCAAGTTTATCAAGGTTCTTTCTCTGAACTGTCCTACTAACCTCAAGACTATATTGCTAATCTCTTTTTCTTTCCCTGACCTGACTAAAGCGACTCGCTTTTTCTTCCATTGCCAGTCTTCTTCGGTAACGAGGACCTCCTCAGAGAGTGGCTCAAAGGAGCGGGTATTATTACTTAAAGTATTTTTCTCCATGTGCATGTTGCATCCCTTTGATGTAATCGTTCTTACTCGAGAGAGTGCAGGACTCTTTTATTACTCCCTGTAGAATAAACTGTTTAACATCGCGCTTAAATAGATAGAGACTGTTTATATAAAATTATCCTTCAAAGAATGTTGGAACTCTTGAAAATTGTTATGTGTATTCTTATTCTATTGCTTATTAATTGCTTATTAATTCCACGGTTTTTTAGCTGAAATTTGCAAATAACCAAGAAGATTGTAAATACGCATAAAAAGCTATGCATATAGATGAATGAATATATTTTTTTTTCTCTTATCTTTTATTCAGGCGTAAAAATAATATTTGCTTTACTACAAAAACTTTTCACTTTGCAGCGCTTCGCGTGTTATCTTTTCCCATGTATATCTTTGCATTGTCCATGTGTATATTTGTCTTTTGCATGTATGTACATAACGTGCAGTCATATAAATGCTCTTCGCGCTTGTGCATCTGTGCAAATATTTACTACGAATTTACCTGGGCGGCTGTTCGGGTAAATTTCGAATACCTCGTGCGTCGCGCGTACAATACTACGCTCGCGCAGAAGCGAAAATGAGAGCATCGGATGTCTGTCTGTGTCGCTTCCAACCGTCTTACCGAAGCGTCAGATATTACGTAAGGCGCTGTGTAAGCGAAAGTCATTGAGTGCGTGCGACTATCTCGGGGCGATCGGACTGCGTTTCTGCTTTCCCACGAAGGTGCAATTTTTCGTTTTTACGATGATTGTGCGCCGGCGCTTCGCGACTTGACTTTCCACCGAAGTGACAGACTTTCTACAGGCGGTGCTGCTATTTCTCTAAACGTGACGTAACTGCATTGTTACATCCGATTAATTAAATTTTCGAAATACGACGCGTTACGCATTATCGACAGATCTAATCTATCGCTCGTTTATCATCTTGCGCACGAAGCGATATGATGGAGGATTTAAACGATCTTTGACGCTGGTCCCCCCCCTTCTCCCCCCCCCGTTATCATTTCGCGTGGAATTCTCTACGCATGTAAAAATCGATGGCATAGCTCGCATGACACGAAACGATTATCGTCGCGATATGTATATTCATATTTTAGAGGCATGTTTACGAAAACGCTGGATAAATGCCGATAATATTGCATCGCGCATCACGTTAATATAACAAGAACGCTATAAAATTTAATAACATTCCGCTTTGTACTCAGGCGTGACGGGACAACCCGGGGTGGATTATCCAGCCCTCACGTCGATTCCAGTCACTTCATTCAGCTGTCGCGGTCTGAGAGGGGGATATTACGCGGATTTAGAGACAAATTGCCAAGTAGGTGATATCGATATTATATATCTCAATGGATTTGAACAAAAGTTATGTAAGAATTAATGTTCCGGCGATTGTCAATTATGAATGATCGAAACTCGAACAAAGTTCGTAATAAAAAATATAAACACAAAATAAAAAAATTTGGAAAATTGAAAGAGACTGAAGACACTTCTGAAAAAAATGTCTTCATTGCGGTTTGAATTTTAATTGATAGTAGAACATTATTTTTGAAAAAAATATCGTCATTTAACAACGGTACTTGTAAGACCGTCGTTATCCTCTCTCACAGAGTTCTCTCGGTTGATAAGACACTTGTCAGCTGAATATAATTTCAGGTATTCCACATCTGTAATAATGGACGTAAGATCTCGTTCCTGTGTCCCAATGGCACCATCTTTCAGCAGTCGCAGCTTATATGCGACTGGTGGTTCAAAGTGGACTGCAGCAGGTCCACGGAATTGTACGAGCAGAGCGCCGAGCAATTGGCCGAGGAAGAAAAGAAACGAGCGGATGCGAGGAAAATGAAGTCCGAGTTTCATCGCACGGCCGAGCAGGAGGATAACGCGGATTACTACGAAACTCAGAACGCCGACTATGACGGAAGACAGAACGGCAGAACGAATCCGTATGGTCAATCCGCCAGCAGACAGAATCAGATTCCGGAAAGGCAGAACGAACCAAAGTCCAACCAAAACTTTGGACCGAATAACGTTTTCAACGACGCTCGCGATTCTGCTCGCTATTTCCAGGATAATAACGCGAACGCGTTGCGAACTAACGAGAAAACGAGCCAGCCCGAAAACTACGAGCAGCCGCCGAAACAGCGACAATATTACGACGGCGGATCGAATTATCAGACGACCAGGCAAAGGAATCAGCTGGATACGCAGAGCGGCAAGTTCAACTATGAGCATAGAAATAAGTTCCAGGATAGCCGACAGAATTATCAGAGCAACACGCAGGATTATCAATCTAATCAGAATACGCCGCGCAATAACGAGAAGCCGGCGTTCAATAATCAGAAGTCGCGGACTTCGACGCGAAATAATCTGTTTGGCTCAAACCAGTCGCAAAAGGCTACGCCGACTTACATGGAGACGACGACTTTCAGAACGACAACCGCGGCACCTCCGAGAGAATATCAGCAGTTCGCGGAAAGCGCTGCGTTCGTATCCAATCGAGGAAATCGCTTCAACTCGGGAAAATCTGAGAATACTCGACAGTATTATTATCACTCGTACGATTACCGAGAGCATTCCACGACCACCTCGACACCGCGGAAGGACGAGGGTGAAACGGTGTCCTTCACACCGAAGACAGGCGTTCCGCCGTTCCCCGGGCTCACGTACGCTCCCATTTATAAACCCAGGACAACGACGTTGCCACCCTACGAAACAACGTTACAGTACACGCCGACTACCGAGACGTCTTACTACAGCACCCCCTATTCCAGGCAAGGCGACATCCCGGAAACCACGTACGCTAACGTCGACATCGCTACCGTAACATCAGAAGTTCCTTCCTCCGCAGAAGAATATTCGACTACGGAGTGGTTCACTACGTACAACAATCTGCGGACCTCCCCCGCGATAGGGAGAGTGCCGCCCGTCCCTGCGAATTATCGAAATCAAGAGTACGTTGATAACAGAGTGACCGATCAGAAAGACTCCGCTCGTGATACTTCTTTTGCAACTACGCGTCCATACGTGAATACAGAAAGTTATCGACACAACGCTGCTAACGCTGCGTTTAGTTCGTCCGTTAGTCAGGACGTGCTTCCCTCGTCGACACCATTTTACGAAGATTCTCGTGATCAAACTCGTGCAAATTATCAAAACGAAAACAGCATCGCAAATGTCGAAAATAAACAACACAACACAACACCCGCGAATCCTTGGCGGGTGACTTTGCAAAGTTTCCAGCAGAATTCTATCAGTTCAACCGAGAAGCCATGGAGGAGCACCAACGTTTATCAGCAGACCAGCTCCACTAGCAAGACCCTGAGTCCTTATGACACTAGCTTCACCTACAAGCAGGGTAAAGTGATGTCCACTTTAGGACCGTATATACCTTTCACTAAAAACTACGTTTATTCCACGATGACCACCACTCCGACGCCGAAACCACCGGTTACAGTGCCAATTTATAGTCCCACTCTGGCGAATTATCGCCAGACAGTGAGCAATCTGATACCGAAGGTAAAATTATCGCCTCCGGTAACGAGCAGACCGAAGGATAGAGCGACTTATTTACCAGAAGTCAGCAGCAAACGACCAACGATTCTGGAGGATAGACCGTACGCCGAGCGGGAACACGCGCTCGGTATGTTGCACTCTCTTCAGGGTTTAGAAAATAACGCGGCGGAGGGCTTGAGCGAGATCGGCGCGAAGGGTGAAAACAGTCGGAAGGGGCTCTTAGCGTCGGGTCCATCCACTTTACACTCTCTAGCTCTGTATTTCGCGACGGCCGGTGATAATCTCGATTCCAACGAGACTATCGAGCGATCCACCGCGAGCGTCGAGGAAGCCGAAGATAGAGAGGGAGATCACTCGCACAACGCATCCGTCGAATTGCCGACCAGCATTCTCACACAGCACACCATCTCTTCGTACGTCGAATTGTTCAATCTGAACAACGCGCTCGAGGGGAACACCACGATGACCGAACTCGCGGCGGAGGGCGATGACGTTGGCGACGAGATCGACGACGACCTGGACATCGAACAGAGCGAGGGTCCGCTGAACGGTGCGAGGAGATCGAACAGCACCAAGCTGCGCGAACTGGCTCAGGTCTTCACTCACGCTCTGTCGGCGTATCTGCAGGATCCGGACACCTTCAAAAGGGTGCTTACGGAGATCAGGCCCACGGAACCACCAACGACAACCATCGATGATATTCAGTTCGAAGCGACGACGTTATATCCGACCACCGCGGAAGAGTATGCGTCGGTAACTAAGGAAAAGGATGAAGTTTTGGATTTTTCGGACGACACCGATGTCACTAGAAGACGCAAACCGTCCACCATAATCTCAACTACGTTGCGAGCACCTGTCACCACCGATAGATCATTTTCGACTTATTATACGACGCCGTACAATGAATACTACACGACTCCAGTGAGTCAGACGCGAAGGCCTGTTTACTATCCAAGCACGACGTTGCTACCTCCCAGTTCTTCGTCGTCGTATGATTCGTCGGGGGGAGATTACGTCGAATCGTCGACACAGGGAGGTAATACATTCGCTTTTGAAGTGAATCGCGTTTTCACTACCACTGCGAATGATATTCATAATTACGATAGCGATACGAGAGATACGACCGATCTGTCACCACTCTATGACAATTATTTCCCATCGGACGAGGACGGAAATCGAAATAAGATCGGTGGCTTCCAAAATAATACATCGAGGACCTTCCAACCTTATGGTAAAAACGTTAAACCGGCCGGCGCTACGCCCATAAGTAACTACGTGGCATCGTCGACAGTGGCGTCTTTCCAGAATCCAGGAGTAGGAACGACTTCATCTACTTGGGGTAGAGGTTCGGCCGGCGATAAACCCGTTCAAGACCTCACACCACCTCATTATCAACGCTTCGGTAATGTGAGGAGTTTCGAGGTGTCGAACAGCATCGTGCCGAATCAGGTGGTGCGCTCGACGACGCCATTGCCAAGGAGCACCTACGAGACCGGCAGCAGCACCGTTCAGCCCTTCAGGATACGTTATTACGAATCAACGACGACACCACCACCACCACCACCACCACCACCCGAGGCTCTCGCCACAGCTCGCAGTTCGTACGCAAAGTACAGAAATAATTACAATCGCATAGAAAGCACTCGCACGGAAGGTACTCGCAAACCCGCCGCGGGAACTGCGGCGACAACCGCGGCAACGACGATCCGAGATAACATTGGGACGTTGGATCCTGTCACCGCAACTATCAGCGAGGTTACTCCGTACACCGCTACCGTTGCTCGCGCTACCTCCAGCAAGCCGGCGAACACGTCGACCACGTCGAGACAAGCCAGCAACTCCCTGAACAACGATCACTGGACATCCTCGCCCATGGTCACTCAGCTCTGGGAGACGACGGTGTTCGTAGATCCTCGGCACATTAACCACGGTCTGGAGTCGAACGCCGAAGGCACCCAGTTGCCCGGCGATACAACCGGCAACGCTATTAATGAAGAGTCGGAATCTACCGTGGCGACGAGCACCGCGAGATCGCCGACCATATTGTCTACCGTAGATTTTGACGGGACGACGGAAGCGCGGACCACCAGCACGCCGAGTCCTTGGCAATGGGCGACGAGTGATAACGATTCACCCGTGACGTTCACCTTGCTGCCGACGACTTTTACCGCGGAGAACACGGCGACGCCGACTCCGATCATCACTACACGGTCCAGCATAACGACCACGATCACCTCCTCGGTGACATCGACGAATTCTCTACCTCGAGACAACTTGGCATCCACGCTGTTGCCATTCGCGCCGGGCAACGCGTTGAACGCTACCGAGAGCGAAGTGATCAAGGCACAGGAGATGTTCGGCAAGCTGAACGAAACCAGCTCGAACACGCTGATGCGAGTAATGAAACAAGCCGATAACAACGAGACGGTGAGGCAACTGGTGCTGTTGCTGGTGAGCCACTGCAATGGGCCCAGAAACAAGACGTTGGAACAGGAGAAAGAACAACTATTGGATGCTCTTCTGAGATTGCCCGTTCACGAATTTAGCTCGGAGGAGTCGCGAGAAATCGTCGCCGGCATCAGTAGACTTAATTTTTCGATTCGTACGTATTGCATTGTATATTTATGAATAATAGTACTTATTTAAAATATTTAGGAAAATATTAATTTTAATATGGCATTCTAATTAATATCTTGAAGCAATGAAGATGCTTTTGGAAAAATGCTAAATATTAAGAATAGTGAATAGAATACATTTATTACTGTCGTACAATTAATTTTAATCGTATATGATGTAATTGATGTAATGACGATATGATTTCGAGATATAATCAATCGCGATCTTATTATCTTATTAATGAGCGGAATTCTTGACGTAATAAAACTCTCATTAACCGTTTTAATGTGAGAATACTGAATATTTCTGAAAATGCAAAAATTGATTTTAAAGAATATTAGGATGCAAAGTATTTCGTTTTTCTTCTCGATTTATATTATTTATATTATTAATTTTATTTTTATGTTTTATACATTATTAATTTCAGAATATTTGTAGAATATTTGCAATGAATAATTTTATTACAAATATATCAGAAATATATTTATTACAAAAATAATTATTTTATTTTCTCTAAAGTTTTCTATTTCTTCAATATAATACTTTTTATTTATATATAAAAAGAATATAAATATTGCTTATCTTACATGCGAAAAATGCTATCTATTTCTTAATTTATATATTTTATTACTTACCGTTAGATAATGACAGACTAACTTTCTATGCGTCTATGTGTTTTTACAGCTAAACTTCGAGCGGTTGCTTTGTCAAATTCCACAACGGTGAGGACACCCCGAGCTTCGTCTGTGAGACCCACGCCGTCTGCGCCATCCATTACCACGTTTCGCAGCAGGACAGGACGAAAATTCCGCACAACCACCGAGAATGCCAACACTTTTGCGAGAAGATCGGACGAGGCTGCCCCGGAGACGAACAACTCCCTGTCAGAGAACGAGACCACCGCGTCGGACAATCGAGCCCTCGAGCTCCTCAGGTCGCTCTACACAATTGCTGCTAAGTGGGGCTGAGGAGTCGCACAATCGACGACCGATCGGAACTACGCGCGCGTCGGAAGACCCGCGAGATGAAGTCCTCGCTGGAGTACAAGAAGACGTCCGTCTGTCGATACGTCGGAGTAGATTGTTGCTGTCACCCATCGTCACGTCACTCCGTCTAGCCTAAATTCGAGGATTCGAATCCGAATCTTGGTGAATCGGTTTTGATCTCGGTCCATGAATCAACGCCCGTGAACGATCAGGAATTCAATCGAGCGTTTTTTTCGACGAAGAGACATCGCACTTCTTGTCAAATACTATTCTAAACACCGTTTCAAGAATTGATAAAGTTTTTTTCTGGAATTTGTATATTATTATATTATTATATTTAATTATTATATCGTTACACTTATCCAATCGAAAAATCGAAAAATTAAATTTGAGCCAAGTCTGAGATCTCGGCATTTCCGAAACTTGAATTGATAACACATCGATGCGATAATGAAGCTCGATTTAATTTGGGACCGAGATTGACACCTGTGCTCGCGGATATTAAGTAGGTCGTGTGACGATTAATTTCGGAAATGTTAATCCAAGTCTGCTTGATACCCGCGATCGAGCGTAATTTACGTCGGTTAATATGCGGAGTCCCGATCGATCATCGATCGATAAGATCGCAGATTAATAATTAACCGGCTGTAGTCCGACGTTAAGATTATATATTGCTCGCCGTCCTTTTTATTAAGAAAATAAAATCATCGATCGCCTCGAAACATCGGCAACTGTTGCTTCCAAGAAAAAAGAAACGCCTGCCATACTTCGTCCTTCTGTTCAGCGGCTTTGCGCGAACATTCAACTTAACTTTTCTTCTTTATACTCAAAGAAGTTTATACATATTTAGCAAGGTAATTTTATATATTTTACTTATGTTTAGCATGCATGATATAACAAAGTTTCTCTAAAAATGTTTCTTCCTTATATAATTTTACAAATCCTTAACAGGCTATCGTGTAATTACATCGCCTCATTAAAGTAATGTCTGTATGTCCGTCAGAGTAGTATCTATAGTTTAGAACAATTGATTTTATTGGGAAACAATTCAATTATATATTTTGTATAATCTTTATTCAAATCTTCTAGATACGTAGATACGTGACTACGTGTTTGAAGGCAAGAAGCAAATTTTAATCGCCGATCTAGAATGAGAGATCCTTCTCATTGTAATAATTCTTTAACATAATTGCACTTGTGTAAAAAAACAGTGATTGTCTTGCATGCCAACGTAAAAAGGGATAAACATTTTGTATAACTCGTCCGCGCTCCTCTCGTAATGTTGCTAGGTACATCATCAAATTGCATTCTCTCGTCTTCGTTGAATTGCACGCGAAATTGACGGAATGTGATGGCACGTGGTGAATTGCACCATGTACGCTTATGGTTATCCGTATATGGTCGGATTCTACGTGACACAATTTCAACCCTTTCCTCGCATATCTTCCCCCAATGGGGGCCACTATCGTCCTCTTTCGAAATAATTCGTTAATTCCCGAGTGGGAATTAATTTCTGCCGGCGGCACCGAATTGACACGTATATCGTATGAACTTCCATTCCCAAAACTGACCGTCAAACTCACTGTTGTGTACGTTCAGTATTACGAAAAGACTCCTCAGAAGGGATCCGCCCGGCTTCCCGGCGGACCACGTGAAATTATTTATTCACCTTCGCTGTGTTGCGATTTCCTACGTACCTACGGCTAACAGTAAGTTACTCATATCTTGAAATTACAGGTGTTGGTAATGTTCTTTTTCGTTTGGACAGTTTCGAGGTCGACGATGCGTTTCCGTTGCGATCCCGAAACGTCCAAATGGGGGTTTCTAGGTCATTATTTAAGTACGCGAATTAGGCGTGTAGTTGTGTATCGACTTTATGTAATATACCTTTGTACAGTATGTGAATAAATATATACAGGGTTTTGTTTAGCTGTGCTTTGTCACATACGATTCTTGGAATATTTACATCGATGTTTTAATTTTTTTATTGGTTTCATCGATGTTTTATTTTATCCTTTTATCTTTTAGAATACTATTACATGTGTGGCAATTCATTACTAACATTTCACTATTTCAAAAAGATGTATCTATATATTACATTTATTGCAATAACATTTAAATCTTAAATTTGTATCTTGTTTAAACAGTAGATAAAGTGAGGATATGAACTTTAAGATTTAGTTCGAAGATTGCAATAAAGTGAATGAATATTTTTTTATACGTAGATCAGTTGTGTAAGAAGTAAATAATAATTAAGTAGTTAAATAATAGGTACAATTAAATCTATATAATAATTTTTATTTTTCGAAAGCTTTGATATTTGATGGATAGTTTGTCAAGAAAATTCACACTCGTTAAACATCATTATCCTCGAAAGTAGAGCGCGAGTTATAAATTTTTAAAGAAGTAATTTACGCTTGAAATATATAGATCGTTACAAATGTCAGCGCGGCAACATGTTAATAACTCATACGAACTAATGAGTGTCATTAATGTTTTTGCGGCGGGTCCTCGGAAGAACGAGCATGGAGAAATGGCCATCAATGATTACGCAAACAATCAGAAAACAGGGGAGTCTCTTCATCTTTGTCTTCCTTGTCGTGCATATATATCTTTATATCCGGTGATTTATATACATACACATACACACGCATGCGCGCGCGTTTGTCTATTTGTGAACGTATATATTTTTTTGAAATTCCTCAGTTCACGAGTTTTAGTTATTCTTATTATAACTCAAGACTCAGATGCCCCAATTTAAAAATTAAATTTACGCGTATTTTGCAATTGAACAGGAATTTAACGGCATCATAAAAGAATAGCGATGAGATTTCCGTAACGCGCCATAAAACGCTCGAGCGAATACGCATACGCTTTCAATCGACTTAATGAAGAAACGCGAGAGAAAGAGACGATCGCAGCGCATCGCACTGGGGTCGGGGGCCATTGCACAAATAGTTGATTAATATTTCTAAGGACTGTTAGATCGTAAGCGATCGTAAGCAAGATGTAGGGATCTTCCATCACGTGGAATGTTACAAAATCCTATCCTACAAGGACTTTTTCGCACTTATGCTCGATCGCTCGTTCGCCCCGTGGCTATTGCCAGAAGCGACTAATCGCGAAACTTCTAAGAAAAGAATTACGGCAAAGATATAAGTAATAGAAAAAAATGTTTTTGTAAATATTTCCTCTTTGAATGGAATATGTATATTATTTCAAATGTCATTTGCTTACATTTTTACTAGATTCTTTTTAGCTCAATGAAAGATTTTATTTTTTCAAAGTATGCATATTCGCAATCATTATATTAATTTTTAAAGATAATTAATTTGAAAATTTCCAATCTCTAAATAATTTTTAATTAATTCGATGATTTAAGATAATATAATTAATCGCAAACATAAATTGATCTGAAAAAAATGTAAGCTAAGTTGGCCAACTTTTCAAGCATGGAGTCTTTCGGATTCAGATACCACGTGGCGCAACTTTTACCTTCGTTACAATGCGAATGGACATCCGCCTTCAGCAAGACCGAGACCGATTCGCCGCCTCGACGCAACATATTCAAATTAATGTCCGGAGATTGGTATCCGAATGAAGAGTTACAAGAGGCAGGAAGAAGATCGTTACTCCTCTACTTCAACATCTTGCTTTTTCCGCAAATGTAAACGAAACTATACCCGACAATATTACACTTAAGAGAAGATCATATTTACTTTCAAAGGTGTTTAACATGATGTAAAGCTGCACGGAACGTCTTAGAAACTACCTATTCACACATGTATAGTGATGTCTCTTTTCTTTACTTTTGTAAAAATCCATTATTTCTTTTTTTTTGTTTTTTGAATTTGCATTATAATATGTTACCAAGAGATTTATTTACATAATTATAGCTTGTCGGGATTATCTTTAAAAATCTGTTAGGGACAGACAGTCGCTAATGCATTTAAAATAATGCTGCAAGGGACATGCGACCAAATACTATGCAAGATCCATGTGTTAAGTAAGTTACCATCGGTATAGTAATTTCACGTAATGGGCACGATAACGTCGTGCAAACATGCGCGAAATTCTCTCAATCTGGACGGTAAATCACAGGTCGATTCTCTACGACGTCGCGAGGAAAAAACTCCATTTAAAATGAGCAGAACTGGATCGATATATAATCTGAGTTTGTCGCACGACTGATTTGGAAATCTACTTTGCGGGATAGTGAAGGATTATCTATTTCTCTTGGAATGATTCGTGTACTACATTATGCGCTGACCTAATCCTTTTCCGAATAGTTAAAGCTTGCGTAAATTGTGCAACACAAATGTGCACGTTTTTCTAAAACGTGCACGTTTTTCAGGGCCGTTAAATACGGGATTTTTCTTTCTTAAAAGTTATTATTATTAATTTTTAAAGATATAACTTTATTATTTGACATCTTTTCTTGAAATTAAATATCTTTAATGCAAATTCTTTCTAAGGGTTTTCATTATTTATTCAGCGTTTTATTGTGCATTTTTCATTTTTGGTATTGTAATTAGAAAACTATCGAGGTAAAAAAATGTGATACACATACTTTTTCTTTGTTTATGGGAAAGGAAACAAACATTTAATTTCGATCAAATGTCGATGAAATTGATTGGACGATATAAAAAAGTTTAATTAGAATTCTTCAAGTTTGCCAATTCTCTCCGCTTAACCGTTAGTAAGTTGAAACAATATTATTCAAACAAGTATAAATCTCGGCCAATTTTTCCGACGACTCGGACGACTCTTTCAGATGATTCTTATTGTCCGAACGGGACATCTCCTGGGATCGAGGCCGATTCCGATTCCGAACGTGGATCTCCTGTCTGTACAATTATCTTCGCGCTCTACTGGTGAGGCGGTAAAAGGTCGCGGTTGATGCAATCGATCACGATATACTCTGCAGAGTACGCGGTTAGATTACGGCGTGTTGGCCAATTGCCGGAGCTCAATTAAGGCTTTTTAGTTTTACACACTACTTGACGTTACGAGCGCTTATCAGCCTCGCTCGTAACGTCAAGTAGTGTGTGTGTGGATTATTGTTTTAAATATGGATCGTTGACTCGATCGTGCGCAGACATTAAAATGCTCGTCAAGCCATACTTACGCTAAACGCACACGCTTACATGATAACGGTGTGAAAAGCGTAAGCAGTTACGTTATGCTATTTATACCATACGTTTCAAAGTGGATAAGAATAGGAAATCTTTCTAATGAAAAATAAAAAGGCAAGGTGTTTCATTTCTTACACTTTGTTTTAATTTTTTAAAGATGTGTTTATGTCATGTATAAAGACATTTATACAACAACAAATATTTTCCTTTAACGTAAAGATATCAAGGATTTTTTGGTTATTTGGTTCATACTTGAATTTTTCTATATAATTTCTATATAATTTAAATCTATGTATTTGATATTCTAGCCAATATAAATGTAAAAAACATATTCTTGTTCAATTTCGATAAGTTTTTACTACTACTGCACACATTCTGACACATTCTGAAAAAAGTTTGTTGAATTTAATCTTTATACTTTAAACAATATCTACATATTGCCCTAAAGCTCTAATAATTTTTCATTTAGCATTTCTCGTGCTCATTGCACTCATCGCGTGTTAAGTGAACCCAAAGGTTAGAACTTGCTAACCGGCTATTAGAGTTCAGGGCACAATAATTTTTAGATAGTAGGATTGTGATTTATACATTCCTATCGATCACGAAGGAATTATCGACTTTAACCAGTGTTTTACTAGTGAGATGTATTCGTACTTTTAAATTGTTTAAAAAATTACTATACTCTTTTCTTCGCATAAACTTAAACAATTTATTTCAAGATATTCGCTTTTATTTCAAGAGAATACGTAGAGAAACTCTGCGTTTCTATACAAGAGCTGTCTCATATATTATTAGAGCGTTCAAAAATTGGTTTCACTTCTTCCAGTAAGATTACCAAATTGGGAAAAATTTTAGTCTAATTGCGTTCTTGCGTAACTGAACGGAGAATATACATCAAAATATTAATAATGATAATCCGGTAAGCTCAATTATGCGGTCAGATGGTATACTCCGCAGTGGACCATGTGCCATTTCTCCGACGAACGAATTACCGAACGCTTTCACCGCGCCAGTACTTGTTGCATACCGATTCGGATCGCTGGCTCTTTTTAGCACTGATGACACGGTGTGTTACCGAATCTCGAGCAATCTCACGGCAGAAAAAGAAGAAAGGAAAAGAAGAGAATGATGCTAGGGGTCATGCGCGCGGATGAGGTAACGGCGCAAGGCGGCAATTAACCCGTGATCGTAGAATCGCTCTTTCTCGACCACTTTCGTCGAACGCGGATGCCGGGCGACTACGTCTACTTTGCGTATTCGAGAGGCTGAAATGAGCCTGTATTTCGCATATTGGCGTATTCTCCATTTCCTTCTTGATTATACCTCGTGATCTCGAACGAGGTATATTTCTCATACAGCATTCTGTTCTCGCGCCGCGTACAAATGCACCCGTCCCTCGTTCCATCGGCCCATGGCTAATCCAGGGCTGGGCATTCACGTCTTTTAACATGAGAAACATCCCGAGCGCTTGGTTCGCGGAACACGAGTCAAATCGAGAAAGTCAGCGTAAAGTGATAGCGTCGCGAGTGTAACGAGTGAAGTTTTATAACTGGATAAATATTCTTCTAAGGGTACGATATCTTTTCTTCGCAAAGTTAACAATTCTTCAGCTAACACTTGGAGCAGTGAACTGTTCCCAGTTTAATAGAAAACAGCCGTTTAAAATTCCCCCTGGAAGATAAACGTAAATGGACGGACGACAATGGATTCTTCTCGCCTTAATAATCAGATTAAAAGTCCCTCTGTCTACATCGAGAGAGATAAATCAAGTTGCAGCTGGCTTCATTTCAGTAATG